GGGGGGCGGGGGGGGGGGGGGGGGGGGGGGGGGGGGGCGCTGGGGAAGGGGGGAGCAGGGGAGGGAGGGGTGCTGACCGGCGTCACTTCCTGGAGGGTATAGAACAAGATGTCATTTTTGTCAAGGTCCGTGGCCGCCAGCTCCTCTTGGGGGATGACGGTGGTGTTCACTTTCGTGTCCTGGGGGACAGAGAGGGGTTGGTCTGGCCACGCCTGTGACCCCCGGGGACCCATCCCCAGGCCAAGGCCCCCACCAGCCCCCTCCCCGCCTCGCACTCACCTCGGGCACCTTCTTTGTTTTGACCTTGAAGGGGAACACGGGAGGGTTGTCGTTGACGTCCAGCACGGTCACAAAGACATTCAGCTGGCTCACCTGGTGGACAGGCGGTGGTCAGCGCCCCCTCTTCCCCCGCGTGCATGTGGCCCTGCTCTCCGGGCGCAGAGACGTCACAGGACAGACAGGACAGCTCTGCTCCGAAGGGCCCAGCCCCCCCCCCCAACTTGTGAAACACTGTCGGTGCCAGTGCCCAGCGGGGGGCGCAACCAGCCAAATCCCAGGAGGACAGGCAGGACAGTTCCTCCCGTTGTGAATCAGAGAGAGAGCGCGGGGAGCCAGGCGCGGGGAGCCTGGCACGTGAAGGGGCCGCATCAGCAGCCTGGGGCCTAGAGACGCCTGTGACCACCGCAGCGAGCGTCTCGGCCCCGTGTGCTGAGCGCCGGCCCTTGCGGGTGTTATGCCAAGAAGAGGCGCCCTTACGTTTTAGAGGAGACACCCTGAGCTCTGCGCAGGTGGGCGCTGTGAGGTGGGTGGGGCGCGGCTCGCAGCTGAGCTGCAGGTGCGTGGGGCTCCCTGGCCGTCCCCACTGTGTCTGCGTGTTTGCGGTTCCCTCCACTGAAGGGTCAGGAGCTGTGGGAGGCGGGTGCTCTCTCGGGTGGTGGGGTTTGCGAGTCCAGCTCAGGGACAGTCTGGCTGGAGGACGTGTGGGCGTTGCCAGCACAGGTGACGCTTGACAACAGGCCACTGGGTGGGGTCCCTGGAGAGGGCCCCGAGCTGGGAGCGCTCTGATGTCCCAGGGGAGGGACGGACATGGGCGCCCGGCCCGGGAGGGGGGCACTCACCACCGTGTCGCCTCTCCTGCACTCCAGGTGTGCCAGCAGCATCGTACTGTCCTGTGGGCCGAGGTGTGTCAGGAACCACCTGCCCAGCCGGGCGCAGCACCACCCCATCCACAGTGGGGAGACCGAGGCCGAGGGGCAGGTGCTCGCCCACAGTCCAGGGGCCCAGGCAGCTTTGTCCCCCAAGGGCCCCGGCCCCCCGGCCCCCCGGCCTGCCCTCAACCAAGAGGGGCCAGTCACTGCCTGTGGGCAGAGCCCTGCTCCACAAGGGGCCACCGGGCCCAACAACGCACCTCATAGTCCGGCGTCACGTTGAGAAACAGCTGGTTCCCCTGGATCCGAAATGCGTGGGGGGTGGACGAGGGCCCGAGGGTCACCTTCTGGCCCTGGGGCACCTGGATGTCCACCAGGGGCTCACTGCGCACCGTGTTCTCCTCGATTTGAAACATGGTCTGGTTCACAGAGCAGCCTGGGAAGTGGGAGCCAGAGG